TAATAATAATAATAATGAGATGTGCAGGCAGGGTTTTATTGTACCCCATACAAGAGCTGATCAGGTGAGTCTCCTGTTTCAAACCTTCAATGGTCTCTACCCCTTACGTGACCCATGTCTGCCAGGCTTAACTCTTACCCCTCTGCCAGTTCAGGGGCCAGGTAAACAATGAAAAGGAGCAAAGTGAATGAATTGGTAGGTGAGAAACACGCGGCATCAGTGCACTCTGGTTTCTCTTTGGGATCTGGGCCTCTTTCCTGTTAGCTGAGCCCCCCCCCAAGTCACACACTGATGGCCCTTTAACAAGTCAGATAGCAGAGCTGCTCTGCTCTGCCACAGCCAGTCCCCGTCCTCCCAAAGTGCTGTTGGTGCACATGTTGGCACACAGGCTTCACGCAGACTTCAGCAACCACTGGGGCTGATTCTCTTCACAGCCTACAGCTCCCAGGGGCTGGGCGGCCCTCTCTGCTTCCTCAGCACTCACTGGCCACAACGCCCATCCAAGTAGAGCCTTCAGAGTTTTTCTAAGTGTTGGGTAAACAGTGACAACTGAATCATCACAGAAGGATGATGCCTATCACGAAAGGCTTTTCTAGCCTCTTCTTTGAAAGCTGTCCTGGAATATGTTACTATGTGTGTAGGTACTTATTTAGTTGCTGAGTACCCGACACCCAAGGTTAAAGGAGGAAGGAGTATGTGGCTCACAGTTTGCAGAGGTTTCAGTCCATCATCGGCTGGCTCCACGGCAGGAGGCCACATGGCAGAGGCCCAAAAGCAACAAGGGCGAGGAGACGAGCCTCTTGCCCTCTCTTCGGCTGTATCCAGCCTAGCACGCTCAGGGCGGGGCCAGTCCAGCCAGTGGACTGATCCAGCACTCACCCTCTCTTCGTCCTGGCATCGCACTGAGAATCACTCACACGCTGTAGATTCAGGCACCTCTGAAAAAGCCCCAGGACCGCAGGAGGCTTTGGGGGACATCTTGACACAGACCATCATACCATGTTGCATGGCAAAGAGGGAATTAATGTAGTAGATAAACTAAGGCTGCTCATCAGCTGGCCTTCAAATAGCAGATTATCCTCGGTTAGCCACAAAGGCCCAATGGAACACAAGGGTCCTTGAACGTGGGAGGAGGCAGAAGAAAGACAGTAATGTAGTGTGAGGAAGATGAAACTCATTGCTACTGCTCTGAATGCAGGAAGGAAGCTCAGAAGACCTGGGAAGGGCAAGGAGACAGATCCCCCAGGCTCTGTGGAGAACAGAGTCCTGCCCACAGCCCAATCTTACTCAGGAGTCCTACTCTGAACACTAACTCACAGAACTGTAAGATGAGTCTGTGTAGTCTTAGGCCATAAGTTTATGGTAATTTGTTAAAAGTAGCAATAAGAAATGAATACATTTATCTAGTGCCTTAACTTTCAGAATAATTTTCAGAAGTCATAAAGCTTTTCATAGAAGATCTATTGATTTACTGATTTTCTGGTACCAGGGATCAAACTCAGGACCTTGTGCTTGCCAGGCAGACACTAATGCCACTGAGCTCTTCCCGGCCCTTCCATAGAAGTTTTAAAAGGTCCAAAGCAAGCCACCACACTCCTCTGCTCCATTCTGTTTTTAGTTTGTTCTAGGCTGCAAGGGTGGACTAGTTTAAAGGATGAGTGTCAGGAGCAAGGAGGCTCCAGGGGTGAATCACGAAAAATGATTACAAAAGGCTTCTGCCACAGTCCACGTGGTCTTAGCTTCACACACTCTCTTGGTAAGAGGTGTGAAGTAACCACTAACTTAATAATAACACCAGTATGATAACTGAATACTTGACGTGAGCACACTATGTAAAAAGTACTCTGTGTCAAGAATGAAAAGAAATAAAGGAACTATCAAGAGTGTTAGGGGCTGGTGAGATGGCTCAGTGGTCTAAAGCACCTACTTAGAACAAGCTTAGCAAAGCACAGCACATGAACCGCGGTTCAATCCCCCAGCACCACATGCCAGCCAGCCCTGCCCCCTGGTGGGCTGAGCTGGCCACACACACACACACACACACACACAAATAAATTTTTTTTTTTTTTTTTTAAAAAAGAGTGTTAGACACTGGAGAGCTCTGAAATTTCTATTATATTCCTTAATAACACACATCAAAATTTCAATAGGTTGTCTAAACAGGCACAGTTAAATCCACAAATAGCTTTATATGATAGGGTATATAAGTAAATTTGTACAACTTTATATAAAATTATTTAACAGTTTAATCACATGACTGCCATCAATGACTGTTAGATTCTTAGCCAAGCACCGCTCTTATTATTGGGCTTCGTCTTATTTTTTTTTTTGTATTTTAGGGAAGGGTCCACGGGGTGTTCAGGGTCTCACTACATGGCAGGCCTAGGGATCAAACCTGCTTGCAGGCACTTTAATCTGCTGAGCTATTTGGCCGGCCCCCAAGACTGCTTATTTCACACAATCTTGATACACTCCTTGTGAGAGGCTGAGTGGGTGTGTGCTCTGAATTGCTAATGTTTACACACAGGTGCTAATGCTGAGTCACTTGTATGATGAGGAACTACACATGTAACTAAAGACAATACCTCTTTCAGTAGGAGAGAAACTGCTCTGGTGTACAGTTTGATGAGGAAATCACAGTAGAAGTAAAGCACACCTACTCTTTAAATCCCATGTTGATTTCCTTGTTGCAGTGTCACTGAATGGCATGGGGACATGGAGGCAGGGAGAAGGGATCCCTGGTGAGGTTTCCATGGGACCAGGCTGGGAACAAGATACAACAGTTGAGGCTAGGGTGTGCTACTGGGGGGGGGGTGCATGCCTTTGCAACTCTCTCCCTCCACCCCAGAAGTCAGCCTCACTCTACCCAGAAAACCCTGCTTCCCCTTCCAGATTCTCTTGAATGTCGCCTTCTCCATAAAGCTTTCAGAACATCTTCTCAGCCTGTGACAGACACCTGCTTGTACTTTTATGGCTATCATCGCTACCTCAGGTACTTCTGTGTGGTCTCCACCAGATTTCACTTAAGTCCCTGAGGTCAAGACCTCGGTCCTATTCATTATTTTGTATCCCCAGTAGTGCCCAATTTTGGAAGGGGAAATGAAGGTAAACTCAATAGGAAAGGCTTCAAGACTGACAAACCTTAATGTGCAAGCTGGATCAAAAATGTAGAAGGTACTGCACAGACTGTGCCTGACAATGGAGCGGATAAACAAGAGGACAACTGAGCTATTTGTGCAAAGCAGTCTACCAGGGGAGTTGGCCAGGTGTGTTCGGGAGGTGCAGTGATGCTGCGAAGTCTGTAGCCTG